ATAGGTGAAATATTTTAAAATGTCAAGGCATGTCAGACTATCCCGAAAGTGGAAAAGAGGCCTCACACCCCAGGGGGTTAACCAAACAAATCTAGTATAGTAATCAGACACATTTAAGTGTTATGGATAAGTAAAAATAAAGGGAATCAGGGCAAATACTTTGTCACAGTGCTGTATGACTAATGATTTTCTCTCTACCTTTCAGGAAAATCCCATAAATATGTATATTTCTCAGGGTCTTTTGGTCTCCCTCTCCTGAATTCTGTTGCCCTGGCTGTAGTATTAAAACTCAAAATGGGTAAGTACTCTAGAACTTTGAGATGGTTCTCTTGCAATTTTACATTTACTAATTAACTTTAACATCCATCCATCCATTCTCCAACCCGCTTATCCTACTGGGTCGTGGGGGGTCCGGAGCCTATCCTGGAAGCAACGGGCATGAGGCAGGGAACAACCCCTTGATGGGGGGCCAGCCCATCACAGGGCACACTCACACAGGAAAACCTATGGGCAATTTTAGGAATCCCAATCAGCCTCAGCATGTCTTTGGTGGGAAACCAGAGTACCAGGAGGAAACCCCACGATGATACGGGGAGAACATGCAAACTCCACATACATGTGACTCAGGCAGAGACTCGAACCCAGGTCCCAGAGGTGTGAGGCAACAGTGCTAACCATTCATGCTAAATTGTACAAACCATTTAGGAAATATATGGATTCCTGTGGTTTAATGTCACTTACTGCTCATTTACTGACCTCAGTTCTCAGTGATTTTTGTGATCATATCATTTCAGACACAGGAAAACAGCCATTGGATCTACGGCTGATTGTCCTGATTTCTGGGTCTGTCTTCCTCTTTAGCTGGTTTGTTATAGAGATTTCTGCATACTGTAAGTATAACGGCGATATGAATATTACTTGAAACCACATGGTTATTTATTCACTATGCAAAGTGGCTCAGGACATAACATTTCATATCACTGCTAATTTAATTATTTTGAGCTTTTCTGGTCTTCCTTTATGATGCTGAAGCTGTGATGCTTTCACATTATCATTACTCATTAATTATAACCTGGTAGCTACAATAAACTCCTATTGATGTCTTAGTATTTTGAACTCCAACATGGTTAATTGTATCTTTTTTTTTATTACAGGGTTGCATAAAAAAAAAAGTAAGTAGATATTTACGTAGTATATGTACAATTTTTTTGATAAAATGGTATCAATGTACAAAAAAATTCATCCATCCATCATGATGAGCCTGGCACCCATCACAGGAAGCACAGGGCACAAGGCACCCTGAGCAGGATGCCAGTCCATCATGGAGCAAACAGACAGTCACAAACGAGGGGACATTTTAAACCTCGTGTTTTTGGACTGCGAGGAAACCGGAGTACCTAAGGATACGTGGAGAGGGCATGCAAACTACACAGAGCCCAAGCCGAGGGGTGTGAGGTGCCAGTGTCACCCACTGAGTCACCACGCAAACTACACAGAGCCCAAGCCGGGAGGTGTGAGGTGCCAGTGTTACCCACTGAGTCACCACGCAAACTACACAGAGACCAAGCCGGGAGGTGTGAGGTGCCAGTGTTACCCACTGAGTCACCACGCAAACTACACAGAGCCCCAGCCGGGAGGTGTGAGGTGCCAGTGTTACCCACTGAATCACCAAGCTGGGAGGTGTGAGGTGCCAGTGTTACCCACTGAGTCACCATGAAAATTACACAGAGCAAATGC